TCTTTAGGAGGCATCAGCTCCGTGAGTGTGGGACTTTTGTCTACCTCATTCATTGACATAACCGCAGCACACAGAATGGAGTCTGGGCTGCAGCTGACACTCGGCAAATATTTCTTGAATAAATGGCACTGCTTAACACACTACCTGACTCTTGGGAGTTGCTCAGCAGTTTTTAGCTGTGGTTAGTATTATTAGTTTGGCTGCTGGATTTCTTTAGGCTCCTTACATGTGTTTTTCTGTAACAGGACAATGAGTACACATCTTTGCTTGTGGATTTTCATCTTTAATATATATATATTTATTTCATTTGATTAATTATTATTATTTTTTGAGAGGTTTTTGCTATAGGGCCATGCGCTCGCCAGACAGACAGAGAGAGACATAGAGACAGAAAGCGAGAAATCACCCCCCAGGGGGGATGGCCACGCCGCAATCCCTTCTCCTCCATTTTCCTCTCGGGATCTTAGGCACGCACGCACACGAGCCCGGCATGAGTTTTAAGCCACCGGGTCCGGGACGCGAACCACGGTCGACTACGTGGGAGTCCAGTGACATAGCCATTACGCTAACTGCCGGTCCCGATTAATTATTATTGTTAAATTTACTATAGGTCCTGTGCACTTCCCAGAGAGAGGAAGTGACAAAGCAAGTTGCCAGGTCCAGAACTTGAACCATGATAGGCTATGTGGGAGTCCAGCACCTTAACCACCGTGCCACCTGCTGGCCCCAGGTTCTTGTGTGCTTATAACAGAGGTATTTGGGCATATACCAAATACACAGAGATTTGCGCTGACCTGAGAATGGAATCTAAGATCTCTCTGGTACTATAAGAGAAGTGGGTGAGAGTTAGTGGGGATGGTTAGACTACCCTTCCATCCACTCTCCCACTCACCCATCCATTTATCTATCCATCCATCTATTCATCCATCATCTGTCTGTTCCCCCAATCCATCCATCAATCCACCCCCATCCACCCATATATCCACCTAACTACCCATCACTCTACTCATCCACTAACCTTCCCATCCAGCCATCTGATTCATACATCTACCTACATATCCCTTCAACATCTACCTAAACACACATATACACACTCAAGAGGAATGCTTCCGAGTACATAGCCAATTCTGGTGATCCATCAACAAACGCGCTAGATGCATCCATTTCTTGCTGTCACAGAGGTTACAACTGAGCACAGAAGGCAGACAGTTAGGTGAGTGATTACAGTCAGGGTGGTGCGTGCTAGAGCAGGGGCAGTATAGGGTGCCGTGGGAGTCCTCGGTGGAGTGGTGCAGCCATCCCTAGTTTGAAGGGGCAGGTATAGTTTCTAAGAGGCAGTGATTTGCAGACAGAACTAGAGTTAGTTAAGATGTGAGGGGGGGGGAGAGCTATGAAACAGGTGAATCAGTAGGTGCACCGAGTGGGAGATGGCATGGAACATTCTGGAAGGTGGTGCGCTAGTTACTCAATATCTCAGTGCCTCAGTCTTCTCACCTGAAAACTGGAATAAGACAAACATCTACCACATAGAGATGCTGTCAGAATGCAGCAAGTTAATGAGTACAGGTAATGATATCCCTTTTCTGAAATGCTTGGAGCCTGAAGTGTTTCGGATTGTGAATTTTTTCAGATTTTGGACTACCTGCATATACAGTGTAATATCTTGGGGATGGGACCCAAGTATATACCTGAAATTCATTGAATTTCACATATATCTTATATGCATAGCCTGAAGGTAGTTTATATACTATTCTTAATAGTTCTGTGCATGAAGTGAAGTTTGTGAACATCGGATCACCGGAAAGCAAAAGTGTCCCTGTCTGAGCTACTCACATGGACAGTTCATGGTAGGAGGAAAAGGCATAGAAGGCGGATGCTGCAGATGGCAGACCGTGAGCTG